ATGATTAATCCATACATCCGATTGGCGAATAACACTTTTTAATTCAGGTAAAATACACATTGACATCAGTAATGCTAACAAATGTATACCAACTAGTAAACAAGATACTGAAATAACAGAAAAAGAGATTAAACAGGAACAAAAAAGTCGATCAACTATCTTATACCTATTGCATAGCAAATTAATAAGCCCTCTCCAGGATTTTGACTTGTATAGGCATCCAACGACAATTCAACAATTGCTACCTATAAGACATAGATTAGATAATACAATATAAGTAATATAAAAAATCACTATACGTACAATAGCGAAACCAGACAACAATGCCGATGTTTCATTGACAGATTCTAATTTTGATTTTCTATAAAACAGGTTATGTAAACGTTGATCATCACTATTGTTATGTCGATTAACTTGCTGTTGGCCTACGAAAAAACACAAACAAAAGTTTACTAAAGGAGGGACAAAGAATTTAGAAACCCTCTATTATAAATCAAGTACATTTTCTCTAAAAAAAGTAACACTTGTTCAAAAAGCCGAGACACTAAGAACAAGTGATGGTACAATAGAAAGATAAGGGCCTGCGTTAACTGTACCCACCGATATTAAATAAATTCGTATATTTTGATCCTACCTGTACTTGAACTATCTGTAACATGACTTGTAAATTTTGTGCAGAAATGCATAGTCAACCTTCAACACTCTATTTCTCTTTTTGTCTTCTCGTAGTTTCATACAAGTATTTTCACATCTTTCTAAAGACCTTTACCTGATTGATGAAAGTTGTTTAAACTACTACTATCTGACATCGAAAGAAGATTAAATTCTTAAATAATTGTTAAGTCTCGGTCGAGTACCATTTCAATTCTGTTCTGATTAATTTTTAGAATTGGAGAATGGCAAATGTGAACATGACTCATTCTAAGATATTTCTTTTTTCTTTTATACACCGCGTCGTATCTATGCCTTTTTTCGAAAAGAAATATAATTTTTTCGTTAGGCATAGACACTTTGTTTTATTTTTTGAAACGAAAATGTCTTCACTTTAAACGTGGAGTATAGACTACTATACTGCTTTTATCCACAAGAAAGGAAAGAAAAAGATATTCACTAGTTTATCTGTCCTGCATATACGTACCAGCAGTTTTTTATTGTTTCATAAACTGAAATTCGCATAAGATACTACTGATTATTAAATAGACTTCTGAATATAAGTAAACAAAAAACAATTATTTTTATCTGTTACAGAACGTGATATATTAAGCATTTTTTTATTAATCAAGAATTGGCTCAAATAATCACATTTGCAGGTGTCGCTATAACTTTTCTTCATGAAATAAGTCAAAAACTCGATCTGTTTATCGAACAACAGCATTTACATTGTAACTAATGATTTTATACTAGAGTTCTGTATAAACTGAACTGGTATCAAAAATTTTCAGAAATGATTTGGTTCTTGGCATTTTCTTGAAAACTATGCAGAAGTCACATATATTGTTCGTATTAGGTCTGTACTAGTAATAAATAGGTCTTGAATGGTGGGAGTTTAGTAGATCAAATAGTTGTTGAATAAGTTATTTCAGCTACAATGCTGTATATTGATTTCAGTTTCTCGACTGTTATTGTAAAAATAGTTATCTTAAACGGATAACATGCATATTCATTCGTGACGTTGATATATTAGCCTATAAAGGATTTAAGAAAAAATTAGCAACATAGAAGCGTTCAGCGGCTGATAAGATACGATAACTATCAATATCGCAACAGTTTTCAGAAGATAAGTAATCAAAAGTGTTTTCATGTAAATAAACAATAGCAGAATCGTATCTAAAATTTATATAACAATAGAAAGGAAGAAAATATGTTCACTTGAGTATAGGTAAAAAAGGTGAAGAAAAAATATTTGGCAACATAGAGGTTTAGTAGGATAAAAGTCTAATCGATCAACTACTTTTACTCTCTATACAAGAAATAGTATTATGACACCTGTCCAATTGTTTAATGTTCGAAAACCATAGGAAGTAGATGAATATTATCTGCAAATTATTACCACAAGTTTTACATTGATCAGATGGTATCATTTGTTTCTCGGATTCACAGATGATGTAGTATCCACTTCAATGGAAACTATTTTAATTGACAGCGTATATTCTTTGATTACCTCAGTTATCTGTAAGCCAAAGATGTAATCGGCTTGTCCACGTAACTCGAGACTTCGCTGATCAAGTTTTTGAAAACATTATTTTAGAGTAGAACTGATAGGAGCATATCACTAGATGCAGTTTTCGACGCTGATTACGAATCTCACATTAGTTTTTGAAAAACGTTAAATTTTGGTACTAAAAACCCAGTTTTACATTTTTTA